CTTTCATCGCATTTATGGCTACTATAAATAGCATCCCTTGTTCCTCTTGTAAAGGATCCCAGATCAGATTTCATTAATACATCTGGCTCTCTCTCTCTCTCTTGCTTGTTCGCTCTGACTTCTCTCTAGGTTATTTCCCGCAATAACCCCTCGTATAAGCTACCCCCTGGGTACACTGTCCATCACCATCACTAGACCAACTACCCAGCCCCAACCCGCAAGCGTTCCACCCCATTAGCCAACAACACATCACCGGCGCTTATGACCATAGCCTCCAGCCGACCGTTGTTGTCTGACTCTATCCACACCCAATCGAAGAATGATGTCGATTCAAACCATTTTTATCCAATCGCCATACAGGAGAGATGGTGGTTGCGTCGACGGTGGGAAACAAAGGTTGTTACGTCGATGGTGGGAGATAGTGGTAGTTACAACTGTGGTCGGATGCGGCAATGGAAGGGGATACGAGGATCATGACTCAGACAAATGTGAGATTTAATTGTATCAGGGGTGTTTTCAGTCCATTCACACATATTTAGTATCTTTTTTAACCAAATTTAAATTGACTCTTATATTTTTCAATGCAAAGCTAGCCCATAGCATAGTTACATAGATCGTTACATTAGCCAAGATTTGTGAACCGATCGTTCCGTACCAAATCGCAGTATCGATTGCCGGTACGAAAGTGATCTATTCGCTAACAAGAACGCTATTGTGAACGCTTATCTCCATGGACCCAATCGATTTTTGAATCAATCTCAATATTTTTTCAGATCGATCATAAACATTTTGAATTTGATCTCCAATCGATTTTCCTATTGAACCCTGAATCACCGTTTCCTTTCGGCGCACGACTTTCAAAGGTTTGTACGGGCTCTTCGAAATTCAAATCAGCCTCTTCATTTTCTAATGCAACTCCTCACACTACAAGAAAATTCCTTATTTGCAATGGACGAATTTCATTGCAAAATATTGAATTCCGTTGCAAATCTCGATTTGCAACGAAAAATGCAACAAACACAATCTCATTGTAATAAAGGTCCTTGCAATTTTTTGCAACAAAATGTGAATCTGTTGCAATGCTTTGCAATGGCATTTGCAACATATCAATTTTCATTGCAATATTTGCAACAAAATTAATTTGCTTGCCTTTCGCGTAGCAAAAATTGCAATGCATGTGTTTTCATTGCAACAAATGCAATGGAGCATGAGTTGCAAATTTCATTGCATTTTTGCAACGACGTTAAGCATTATTGCGAGTCCCGTTGTAATAATGCAAGATAATTAACCACGGTTAGGTTTGATTTTTGTTGCAAATATCATTGCAATTTACACGACATAAATTGCAACATGAATTATAAATCATTGCAAATAATGTTGAAATTTTGCAACTGAATGAAAGTGCAATTGCTTTAAAATTTCATTGCCACTAGCATTGCAAAATTGCAACTGCGTATCATCCATTGCGTAAATTTATTGCACTAATGCATCACCAAAATATATATATATATATATATAATTTATTTTCATTGCATACTTATCTTGCAATAGTTTACAATAAGTATTGCAAACTACACGAGTTGAATAGTATAATAACTATTTATTTAAATAAAATATGCACTAAGCAACTTTGCTAATAAAAAAATTTAATATGAAACTTAGAAGTACTGAATAGATATCAAGTTCAACATACCAAAACCTAAACTATTAAAGAATAAGATGCAAGAGACAAATTAAAAGCAAGGTACGTATTGACCAAAAAAACAAGGTTCGTATCACAACTCAAAGACTCCTAGACCTATCACGAGCTAAAGCTTCAATCTGATCCTGCAAAGCACGAATAACATCATCTGTCTTCTGTTGCTTTAGTTCTGTTTGTTTCTGATACTCCTTTTGTTGCTCTACAATTGCTTGCAACCTTTGAACTTCACTTTGTAAATGATCTGTATCAGCATGCTTACTTTGTTGTGATGAAGTGTTTGTTTCTGAAGAGAGTTCTAGTGCATGATTCCGAATAAAATGTTGTCCATACGAGCCAAGTTCAACAACATTACAAAACAATTGATCATCATCAACTTCTTCTCCAATATCAATCAACTCCTCACGACGCGTCACAAATTCTGCCTGCAATCATTTGTATGAATTAATTATAAGAGTACACATTTCCAAATAAAGTTCAAACAATACTTACATTTAGTTGTTTAGCTTGATCATTTATAAAAGTCTCCCCATCATTATTCTTTGTATGCGTATGCAAAAAAACCTGATAAGCTGTCACCGTGCTTTGAGAACTTTTCTCCTATACAATAATGATCAAAAACTATTATCAGCCTTAAAAAATATAATAATAAAATTGCTTTAGTCATAATATAATGAACTTACAATTTCATTAGCAACTGTGGCATGAGATCTTGCTCCGCTCGTATGAGTAGAGGGAGCTGGTTTGTCCAATTCACCTTGACGCCTATTTTTTTTGCTTTGATTTGATTTCTTCTGAAATTCTTCAGTGTTCCAGACAGCTTTCCAAGTGTCCCAAACATCTTGTGCAATTGATGGATTTTTCTTGCATCTTCCAGTTTTCATATTGCTAAGATAGTTGGAATATCTTTCTGCTGCTTTTCTGGTCCAAGCTACCTTGATTGAAGACTCAATAATAGGATTCCAAAAACAATGCTTCTACAAATCATTACATAATTTAAATGTGAATTAAAACCATAATATGTATTAGGGCAGACTTTCTCTTCCTATGCAATAACATCCTCTAAACAAAAGGTTGCTAGCAACATCGAGATATTAATTAAATGTAATAAAATGTAAAATACCTTAAACTCATCCCAGTAAAACTTGATTATATCTTCACTTAAGGTTGCCCATGAATGACCATTAGGGTCTACTCTCTCCTTGAACAAAGAAGTAATCACTCTGGAGCATTTCTCTGAAGGTGTTAATCTACAATAAAGATATAGTTTTAATGATTTACTCTCACACAAGAAGTATTTAATATAAATAAATAACATCAACTTATAAAACTTCTTAGTTAATAAATAATTACTTCTTATGTTTAACTCCAATGCACAAACGACCATCTGATCCTGTAGAGTCAATAATATATTCTTGTTGCTCAGAATTAGAACTTGGAATATTTGTATCACTACTTGTAGAAATAGATGTGGTAGATAGTGGATTAGACTGAGATGAGACAAGTCCAGGAGTTGATGATGAACCAATTGGTGGTGTTGGTGATGATGAATCAGGTGTTGCAGTGGATGGTGATCTAAGAGGTTGGGTCGCTACCGAAGATGTAGAGCGAGCATGTGAGCGACTCACAAATCTTGGTGTTCCACTCGCCTTTCGCTTACGTTGTATTGTACCACGACCAAATGGTGGCAAATCGGACATTTCCTGCAAAAAAATGACTAAAGTTTGATTTTCTAAATGAACAATAAATGAGTGTAATTATTTTTTTATAAAGCAAATCAATAACTACCCCAAGAAATAAACAAAACATAGTCAATGCCCAATTTAAAAAATGGAAGAGAGCGAAAGGCCTCACACTGGATTGCTGTTATAATTCAAATGCTTTGTCGATTCAAATCAATTCTCGGGATTGCTGATTATAAGCTGGTCTTACATTCACTGGAGCAATTTATCATACTCAATTGCAATGAAGGTTTGTATGGACCTTTTGTTCCCAGGTTGTTGAAGCTATTGGCAAATGTCTACGGTTTGTATGGGGCTTTAGCCAGAAGGAGCTACCAAATATCTTATAGCATAGAGGCTGAGAGGATCATGTTTCATCTATTCAACTTCAAATTTCTGGGTTATTGTAAACAAGTGAAGATAAAATATTCATGAGATGCTTTGAAGCTTTAAAATGTCTACGGACCATTTGTCAGCTCAATGCTTCCAAAATCACGCCTTTTTACTTTTTTTGGCTGTGGAGCCAATAGTAAGTGTTATTAAGTGTTACATTTTTTCACTATTACTCATGCTTCTAGTATACTTGCAGACGCGTGTCTAAAAGTACACCCCAATACAAGCGTTTTCCTTAATCCTAACAACACCCTCATCTAAAAAACAATTCACCCATTCCCCACACTATACCTTGGATATATTAACCATAGGAATAAAGTTCTCAGCAAAATGAGCTCTCTTCCATTCTGCCAATGATGCACTTTTAAACCTTAATATGACTTTGTCAATTTTGTCTAAGTTAAAGTAATGTTCATTTACCATCTTGTACTCCTGTATCAAGTTTGAGAATATTTTACACTAGTGGATGAGTATAATTGAACCATGTGCCTTTATTGGACATTTTGATAATTTTAGTTTCTTTATTTTCCTTTGATGAAGACTAATTTAAAGTTGGGGATATTATTAACATGCTTGACAGTTTCAAGCCCAGTTTGTTCCCTGTATGAGGTATGATTTATTTTGCCTATAAGTAAAAAACACATAGAGCATTGTTTTTACCCCTATCTTTTACCCCCTTACTTTCCTATTTTTATTTATGTTGTCCCTCCCAATTCTTTATCCTTTAGATTTTCCGAGTTCCAAATGAACCCATAAATTTTGAGGCAACGAGCTGGAAATGTATTTCATTTACACTTTCAAGGTGCACTGTTGATTATAGGTTTCTTATATCATGTTTCAGGTATAAACTAGTATCTTTATTGAATATTTAATACTTCAAGTTTAGCTAATAATCTGTTAAACCAATTTCATTGGTTATTTTTTCCGTTTGACTTTTTTCTTGGCTCACAACCATATGGTTACAAATAAAAGCAGCCACAACCATGGTCTCAAAAATATAAAACTGTGAAAATTTGAAAATATTAATAACTAAATGACTTCATGATAAAATAATAATAACAATAAAATAATAATAATAATAATAATAGTAAAGTATGTGGTCACTAGTACTAGCGCCTTCATCATTCTCTTTACTAATCACTATCGCAATCATCACTATCATCATCTTCACTCTCGCTGCTAGATGAACTTGACACAAATTCATCCACATCTTCACCACTTTCAGAATCCCTATCTGGAATCTCAAGATCAACATTTGAATCACATAATGTAGGGATTGCTTCATCTGTAGTCTCCATGATTTCAATTGATTCAAATACATCTTCTTGAAAAGCATCGTCCTTTGATTGACCAATTTCCTTCACTGATGCATCCATCCATCCACGAGGACGAATTTTACATACTGCTAACCAATCAGAATTGACTCGTTTTGTGCATGGATAAGACACAAAACTAACTTGAGTAGCTTGCATTGCTAAAATAAATGGCTCAAATTTATTGAACCTTCTTCTTTGATTGAGTTCCACTAGATTGTATTGTTTGTGAACCTTAACTCCAATGTTAGGAGTTGGATCATACCATTCACATTTAAACAACACTGTACGTTTCAGTGGCAAAGCAGGGTACTCAACTTCTAATATTTCCTGCAATTTCCCATAGTAGTCACCGTATGCACCAGTTATGCAAACACCATAGTTCATTGTTGATTTATTCAAACCATATGATTCTGTGTGAAATTTATACCCATTTATAAAATAAACGGGATATGATTTCACTATTGCCAATGGCCTTCTTGAAAGATCATGTAGATATGTGTTCCCGATATCATTATTACGTGCCTACGTTATAAATTACGCAAAATTAGATACAAGTAGTACTTTTAAAATTTCATTAATAATATTGAATTAACATGCTTACATAAGTTTCAAACCATGAGGCAAAATGTTCTTCAACTTGAACTGCAAGTCTTTCTTCACTTATATCGGGATTAAGTTCCTTCAATAAGTTTTCATAGATCCTACATATTGGCAATTAGATAACATTAACATATTATATCTTTAATTATTAACTAAAACGTTTTAATTTTTTATTTTAATCTTACTCGATGTAAGGTTGCACCTCCTCACAGTTAAGCAATATATATGTGTGTGCCGCCAAATATTCTTCTGGAGTCAGCCTTCTTTTCCTTACTTTTCCACTACAACGACCCAGATGCTTAAATATCATCAAACGATTGCCATTTTCCTCAAACCCTCCTCCATCATCATTTCGAGGCACCTTTCGACTACGTGTATAAACATGCGGCTCGAAGTAATGAGAACAGAAGTTTGATGCTTCCCGAACCAAGTAGGCATTGCAAATTGACCCTTCTACTTTAGCTTTGTTTTTCACATCTTTTTTCAATTCGTGCAGATATCTAAAATTAAATGTATTACTAGTAATATAAGAATCATGTATTTTATATTTTAATGAAGTATTTTTACCTCTCGAATTGATACATCCATCGATACTGCACAGGACCACAATTCTTAGCTTCATAAGGCAAATGCACGGGTAAATGTTCCATCGGGTTAAAAAATCCAGGCACAAATAGACTCTCCAACTTACATAGGATTATTGGAATTTCAGATTCTAATCTAGCCATGTCTTCAACCTTGATTGTTGTAGCAGTTAAGTTCTTAAAGAAAAGACTTAACTCCGTGAGTGTTTCCCACACCTTGGTTGGCAGCATCTCTCGAAATGCAATTGGCATCAATCTTTGCATAAAAACGTGACAGTCATGACTTTTCATGCCAAACAACTTGTGTTTTTTCGTATCCACACACCTTCCCAGATTGGACACGTAACCATCTGGAAATTTTAAACTCTTCACCCATTCGCATATGGCTATCTTTTGTTCATTTGTCAATGAGTAACATGCTTTTGGGTACTTCTCTGTGAGAGGATTTTTTTGTAACTCCTTTCTATTGCAAAACAATTTCATATCCTCTCTTGCTGTCACGTTATCTTTTGTTTTCCCCTTAATATTCATTACAGTATTAAAAACATTCTCAAAGACATTTTTTTCGATATGCATGACATCAAGATTATGTCGAATGAGATTTGTTTCCCAATACGGCAAATCCCAAAAGATGCTTCGCTTTCTCCATCCACAAGCACTGGCACATGCTTTATTCACATCTTCAGCGTCATCTTCCACAACCTTCAACAATCCAAATTCTTCAATTTCTCGCAATATTTCTCTCCCATTTTTAATAGGAGGAGGACCCCTCATTTCAACACGATTTTTCAAGAACTTACTTTTATTTCGTCGAAATGGGTGATTGAGAGGAAGGAACTTTCGATGATTATCAAACCAAGACATTTTTTTACCTTTAGGAAGATAAAATGCTTGGGAATGTTCCATACAATAAGGACAAGCAGTCTTCCCCGCCGTTCCCCAACCAGAAAGCATAGAATATGCAGGGAAATCACTTATAGTCCATAATAACGCTGCTCTCATTTGAAAATTCTGCTTCAAAGATACATCATATGTTAGGACACCTTCTTCCCATAGTTGCTTTAGTTCAGAAATAAGAGGTTGGAGAAAGACATCCAGGTTATGCTTAGGATTATCAGGTCCAGGCACTATTACAGTTAGAAACATGTAAGGATCCTTCATACACATTGATGGAGGCAAATTATAAGGTGTAACAATGATAGGCCAACAAGAATACTGTTGTCCCGATTGCCCAAAGGGTTGAAATCCATCAGTACATAAACCTAGCCTAACATTACGGTTCTCGGCCGCAAATGAAGGATGATTAACATTAAAATTCCGCCAAGCTTCTGAATCAGAAGGATGGCACATCTCTTCAGGACTATGGCCATGTTCCTCGGCATGCCATCTCATAAAAGATGCAGACTTTTTGGAAGCATAAAGTCTTTTCAACCTTGGAGTTAATGGCAAATAATACATCCGCTTGTAAGGTACCTGGGATTTCTTAGAAGAGTTGGGAGACGCCTTGTACCTCGGGTATTGACAAACTTTACAATGAGTCAAGTCTTTATCACTACCCCAGTACAACATGCACCCTGAGCTACAACAATCAATTTTCTCCACCGGAAGCCCAAGTCCTTGTACTAGTTTCTTCATACCATAAAAACTATCAACCATATTGTTGTCTTCTGGCAATGCATCCTTAAATAATTGACAAATTGCATCAAAACATTGCTCAGGTAGACGAAACTCAGACTTGATATTCAATAATCGGGATACAATGGATAATTGTGACAGCTTTTCACAACCGGGCCATAATGGCTTATCGGTGGCTTCTAGCATGTCAAAGAACTTCTTGTCTTCAGGATTCGGTTCTTCATCCATAATCGTTGTTGGGATGAAATCAGGACCAGCAGCATCCAAAACCATTTGCCGATAAGCAAATGAGGGCATACTTTCAATATTGAAATAGTCATTATCGTAAACATCATCCCTAAACGAATTACTATCACTTGCCGTTTCTCCTTGTCGATCCCACAAAAAATAATTCGGCACAAATCCATGTTTTACCAAGTGTAATTTCATGGTTTCAACCTCTTGATATTTCCGATTATGACATTTTGTGCAAGGGCATCTAATTTTGTTTCCATCCATGAAATGTGGCTTGCTTTTTGCAAAGTTAACAAATGTATTAACTCCTTCAATAAATACATCAGTAAGATATCCGCCGTCATCCTTCCTTTGATACATCCAATTTCTATCTGTCCTACTCATTAATGTATCTATGAAATAAAATAAATCTAAGTTAACATATAATGTTTAATTTAATCTATATATGTAACTGAAGTACAATATATAGACTATGAATAAGTATATTTTATATTATTTTTACACTAGTAGATAAGATAGTACAATTTCCATTTGGTGACCTGTTTTTCTGTGACCATTTGTAACAAAAAAAAGTTAAAAAATTGAAAAATTATTTATACATACACAAATTAATTAGCATCAGGGTGCCCCCATCACAAATAATAAGCATTAGGGTGCCCCCATCACAAATAATAAGCATCAGGGTGCCCCATCACAAATAATAAGCATCAGGGTGCCCCCATCACAAATAATAAGCATCAGGGTGCCCCCACCACAAAGAGCAAGCATCAGGGTGCCCCCATAGCAAATACGTACCGTTATTTTGTCAAATGTCGCTTTGATGAAATAAATGACAGCTTTTGTAGACACACAAAGCAATCCCTATATAATAAAGGAAAGAAAGATCATTAATTTAGTTGCACATGTAAAAATTAACATGTTATTAATAGTATTATCGATAATAATTAAAAATAATGTTTCCATAGAGAAGTATAAAAATAATGTTCTTTTCTTTCCTAATGCCGAGTGTGATTGGTTGTCAATAGCCAAAGTGTCTTTGAGTATTTCATCATGTTTAATAACCATCAGAACGTGTTATGTTTTCTTTAAAACACGGCTTATTATAGTCAAAAGTTTCTTTTCTAATAATTGAGATTATTTTTATCTATTTTTCATAGTTCCTTCTACTCTACAAACTCATAAACTTGATACTACTTTACACCAATGAACTGGATAATTTAGATGACTTAGCTAAGAAACTATTTATTGAAAATTAAAATAACCCTTGGAAATATGATAAAGTAAGGTTATATTTTTTAAGTGAGTATAGATACATACATAGACAACTATGGAGCAAAATTTCTCTACAAACATAGATTCAAGCACGTAATATTGTCCAGACCAAATGAGGACAAACGAAATGGGAATGTAAACGTTTACTCAAGAGATACGTTTCTAAAGATGATTCGAAAGAACCAAATTGCTTCCCTCCAATACTAAACAAAATAGCTGCATTCATTAAGACAAAAGACAAAACGATAAGTTGTTGTCAAAAGGTCAAAACGAATTTTAGGACAATGCATACCAGGATCTAATTCAAAATGTAACCATTTCACTTTTAAGTGGAGATTATCTAAAACTTAAAACATTTTCACATTTTGTTAAGATAATGTCTTATCTTCTTCTTCTAATCTTAATAATGATCACTTTCACTGGCAAGTTACCCCTTTTCTCAATAGCAAAATTTAAATGTAACTTACAAGCAATGAATATTAATAGGCAGCAGATCCTTTATCACTATGACTGAGATATATTCTCTTTTTAAATCATTTATTAGGGTGGAAGTTTAAGAAGTTGGAAAACAATTTCTAAGTTGGAAACACATACTGATTTTTGCCACATGGCATGATGGGGCAGCCTAATACAGTGGAAGATTAAGATGTGATGATTTCTTGTACTAATATATGGATTTTTGAGGGACTCATTCTTTATCTTAGTCGGGCAATCCGGAAATGGCTAGGTAATGCAACCATGGCGGCCCCATATTCTTTATCTTAGTGAAAACATGCTCCTAAAGATTCTTGGTTCATATAATCCTCCTCTATATACCACTCCTAGGTCTGTTGGTGTTTTCTTTGGCCTCTTTATTTTAGTTAATAACTTTTCCTTTAATTCAAAATGCAACCATTTCAGCCTTAAGTGGAGTTTTTTTTTTTAAACCTAAAGGCATTTTCACACTTTCTTAAGCTAGTGTCTTTTCTTCTTCTAATAATAATAACCACTTTCTTTACACTCTGTAGACTCGAGCAATGTTTAGTTTTCACTTTCTTTACAAGGGTGAAAACATCTTTTTCCATTCAGATTAAAAAATCTTTCATACTTAATTGACTAATACGGAGTACCTATTTTAAAATGTGGAGGCAATGCTTTAACAGTAGCCACTTTCTAATATAATACAAAATCCAAACAGGCTACAAGAGCTGGAAGAAGAACTTCTATAAGGACTAACAAGACTCAAACTGGATAGGCAGAACTTAGTGGAGCCTTTAAATTTTGATTATTCAAGATAAAATGCACTCAAAATGAACAACAGCAAATATAAACCCACACATTTGTATACATACAGAAATCAGGCTGCAAGAAAAGTGATAAATTTGCTTAATGAAGGGCTGTGCATATTACCAAGGATAGTCATGGTGGCAACTATCATCTAAACTCCTATGAGGTTTGGCTGATTTTTCCTAAGGATGGACAGTTTGCAACTTTCGTAATACCCCTAAGATTTGGCTACCTAGCCATGCCTACATCTCTGTGGCTTATGAGATGAAGGTTCTCAGTCTCAAAACGGCAGCAACACCTATGAAGGTCACCCCATCACCCTAAAATCCTCTCTTGTAACTGAAAAATTCTCACCCGACCCTCCATTTTTCAGAGAACAACTAAGCTAGTGAAAAAGTATTTAGATTAAAGCAAAAAAATTGCTTTCTATTCTAACACGCTTAAAGTGATCTGAAGTGGAAGAAAACCCCCTGCTATTGTCTTTTACATTTGTTAGATGTCGTTGGAAAGAATGGCATGTAGACCGAAAAGCTTCCATGGAACAACCTCTGTCCACCGACCCACCAAAAGAGCTAGCGCCGCTCTTGTGCCCAGATTGCCTCACCCTCCTTTGGAACCTTGCAGTACTCCAGATTCCACGCCCAGAAGATATGGATCACAATGGCTGCTTCTGCCATCATGTTGACCCCATATTGGCTTCATCCCCTCTTGATTCGAAACAAATTAGGCTTGCGGCACAGGCTGAGGTCACCTCTGGATTTCTACCGCTGATGCACTTCAGG